TGGCTTGGGGTTCGTGCACGGTCGCGGAGCTCCTGCTCCCTCTTCCTCACAGCCTGCTCCCTGTCCTTCAAGTCTCTGACTTTTTTCTCGTAGTCCTTCTCGCGAGCTCTGGCGGCCTTTTTTTTTCCTTTCTGGCAGCCCTCCTCTTTTCCTTCTTTTGCTTTTCCTCTTCGTCCTCCGCAGGGGCAGGTGGCCCTTCTGCTGCCGTGCTCTGCAGCAGTCCTTCGGCTATTTCCGTCCTCTCCGGCGGCCCTGGCGAGGCTTTTGCAGCCGCCTTTGCAGCCTCCGCCTCTTCTCGGGTCGGGCAGTCCTTCTCGGACTCCTCCCCAGAGGAGCTACGAGCCTCGGTCCGCGGCCCCGGCATCGCAGCCACCAGTGTCCAAGGACCCGCCGGCCTGACAGGTGCAGAGTTAGGGATGAGGGCTTGGCTTTGGGAAAGGTTTGGGGGGGCGTTTTGTTCATCGAGCCCGCCAGCAGCCTTCCAGGGAGCTGGTCTGGAGAAGGCCTTTCGTACCTTCGCCAGCAGCCTCCCCGAAAGCTGGTCCGCCAGCAGCCTCCCGCAGGGAGCTGGTCTGGAGAGCTGTCCTCGCCAGCAGCCTCTCTCTTGGGGAGCTGGTCTGGAGATGGAGCCGTCCTCGCCAGCAGCCTCCCGCTTGGGAGCTGGTCTGGATTTTTTTTTATGTTCTTTCGATTGGCTTGCTGCTTTCGGATTTTGTTCCTATAATGACTAAGAGGTTTCTGAACCCGTGCCGGCCTCTTGCACGGAGGCCGCTGATCCCGCATCCCCCGGGGCTTGAACCGAAAAGGGCTACGGGGATGGAGTGCAGCTTCAAAGGAAAAGGCCTCTAAAACCAAAACATGCTGCATGATCTCTACCGCTTCTGACCTGTAGCTTTCGTTGTTCTTTGTTGCTGCACAGTCGCTGCGAGCTCCAGGCTCCCCGCCCGAGGCACACAAACCTTCTAGCTGAAGTTACTTGCTTCTTGCCGGCTCCTTGGCCGCAGAACGGATAAAGATGAAGTCTGGATCTGCACAGATCCCGGGCTCAGCCGCTCAGCTGACTGCAACAAGACCTTTCAGCAGCTCCTGGGTCTCCAGAAGCTTGGTTGCTGCACCCGTCAGCACAGATTTCAGCTGAGCCAAGCTTCCCTTGTTGGAAAGCTTGAAGGTCTCAAGCTGTGACTGCAAGGGAAGCAGCTGAGCCCACTTCTCGTCCAACTGGCGCTTCAGGTTCTGCCACGTCTGCGAGGTGCTGCTGTTCAGCCGATATGTCGCCTGCTTGAGCTGCATCAGCCAAGTCAAGGCCTGATCGATCTTCTCGATGCATTTCTTGTCCAGCTCAGGAAGCATGCCGGGCTCCGGCTGCCTGTCAAGGATGGCCAAAGGGGGCGGCGGGGTTCCTGGCACTGCGAAAGCCGCCGGGGTGACACTGCTCGAGCTCGGCGGCACCACTTCAAACTCTGGGTCGAAGTTGTCGCAGAAGGCCTCCAACTTGTCCTTGCTCTCCTGGTCACAGGCGGCGGCCTGCTGCAGGCCGGTCTTCTGGACGACGGCGGTCCGGTGCTGAACCTCCAGCTGCCTGTACATGTACTGGGTCTGGCCCTTGTCCGTGATCTCGACGACGTCTCCCTCGCGGAGGGCTTTCAGAAAGGCCGTTTCTGATCCGCACTTGCCCACCATAATCGCCTTCGGGTAAGACTTCTGCTTCGTCTTCCCCAAGACGGAGCGGTAGTGAGAAGTCAAGGTCTGCACTGTGGGGTGGTTCTCGTTGATCTCCCACTTGGTCGTCGTCCCGGGCTTGACGACGTCGTTGATCAGCTTGGTCTTCGCGGCCTGAGACTTATATCAGGGCCACACACGAAAAAAATGAACTTATGATTTTTATCTTAGCCCTATAAACCCTAAACCCACTATGCAGACCAATCATGTCAAGAAACCCGGGAGACGTCTTTGCTCCGGAAGAAGTTCTGCAGCTCCGACGACAAAGTTGGCAAACTCTTCTCGAAGAACCAAGCCTTACGCCTGTCACGGGTCTGCAACTCCTCACCAGCAGCCTTGGCCGGCGGAACGTCCTCTGGAAGCTCCGCAACGAGGGCCGTGGCTCGCTCTCGTAGCACTTCGCTGGGCTTCTTCTTTTCGGGCTTCTTGTTGTCAGGCTCCTCAGCCGGCTTTTCCGTGGCCTTCCGTTTCTTCTCTGTCGGGGCCTCTGGAACCTCGGTCTCCTCTGGCGGCTCTGCCGCTGCTGCAGCCTTTTCTTGCTCCGTGTCGACCGCCGTTGCTTTGGCCTTTGCTTTGCCCTTGGCTTTGGTCTTGGGTTCGGCCTTGCCTTTGGCCTTGGGTTCGGCCTTGGCTTTGGCCTTGGGTTCGCCCTTGCCTTTGGCCTTTTCTTTTGCCTGGGCTTTGGGCTTTCCTTTGGCCTTCGCTTTGGGCTTCGCTGTCTCCGTCTCGTCCGGCTCGCCGACTTCCCTTCGGCCGTTGGGTCCTCGACCTGGCTGTCGGGCGGGGCTTCCGCCTGTGACTTCTGGGAGTCCTCTAGCAACGTCTGGGCAACCGCAAGCGGGTCTAGCACCGAGCCGGTCTGGACGGTTAAGCTGAAAGCCAGTGGCAACTGCCGTCCGCCTTCGACTTTCGGAGCCATGGCTGCAGGGCACGGCTCTACGAAGTCCACTCGTCCCTAAGCTGTCGAAGCCACAAGAAGCTGCAGTCGATCGTTGCCGGACAAGCCCCGCAACACGAAATATGCAAATTAACCGTAGTTTAATAGTTAAAAATTAACTATTATAGGTAATAGGTAATTCAACAAAAATTAACTATATAGTTAAAAATTAACTTGCCTATAGTCAAAAGTAGTAAATTGCCTATTCGGAGCCTAGGGGTGTGTCTGTGGTGATTTACATATGTATGTATTTATTATGTATGTATGAAATCCCCTCATCCGTTTAATAAAACGACGATCCATCGCTGGCCGCGAAGGTGCAAAACAAAACAAGCGAGCTCTGGATCTGTCTGCACAGGGAGTGAAGCTGACACGTGGGAGAGAGAGAAAGTGATCGAGTCTGTAGAGGGCAACCACATCATTACCCAACATAGCTCGGTGGGGTGAGCGACAAGGAACATCATCAAGATCAAATCCCCACGCAAGTAGTAGTAGCAGTAGTTGTAGTAGTAGCAGCAGTAGCAGTAGTGGTAAGTAGCACGACATCAAGGGAGCTGGTGCTCGCCTCTTCGAGCATATCAGTCATAGGGTCAATCGAGTCAGTTTCACACCAAGTGCGTGCACCGCGGCAATCGCCCGCAATGTGCTGAGCCCGGTCGCACGGCGTTCAATTGAAAATAGTAGTAGTAGTAGTAGTAGTAGTAGTAGTAGTAGTAGTAGTAGTAGTAGTAGTAGTAGTAGTAGTAGTAGTAGTAGCCTGTAATCACTCACCTGACATTTCTACATACCACAGACATGCGTCGGGCCGGGACGCAGCGCATGTCACCTTGCCGCCGGAGCTGCGCCGTCGAGTCGACGCTATCGCCGAACTCGTGCCTGCCGTTTTATCACAGCAGGGCAGCTACGTAGTCAACGGGCTCAGTTCATGTTGACCATACTAGCAGATCAATGTATAACACAGATGAGGAAATGCTGTGCCATCTGTGCCACAAGCAGGACCTCGCACGACACGAATCAGCATACACGCAGAGACAAAGCTCCAAGCTACAGCCAGCCAAAGCACAAGCATTCTCCTAGTTGTAGGTCTGCCAGCCTTCGTCATGGTGAAGCGAGCCGCGAAATGCATGCTGTGCAGCAAAACGCGCGCTCTGCGCGAAGTCAAGAAGGAAAGCCTGCTGGAGGCTGCGAAGGCAGCTGCGAAGAAGCCACTTCCGAGGCGGTGGGGGTCGACCTCGTTTGCATCGGGTCTGCACGTTAATTACCTGTTAGCTTACGTTGGAGTCAGGACAACAGTACTGTGAAAGGCCGCGGCGAGGGAGGTCTCTGCAGAGGCCGCCTATCAGGACTCTTTGCAGGGTTTAGGGGTCTTGGTTCATGGGTTCCTGTTGGAGGAGGTGTCATGTCCTTGGCATAATTCTGTCGTTTCTCAGCATCATCCCGGAAGACAGTGACGGGGATGTTTGATCTTGGCTCCTTGTTCAGAGGGTTTTGGGGTTTTGGTTCATGGGTTCCTGCTGGAGGAGGTGTCATGTGGAGTCGGGGTTGGCTTACTGTGAAGGCAGAAGCGTCAACATGAAACGATGACGGTCTAATCGCACTCGAAAACACATCAGCAGCAGCGCTTGTAACCTTACCACATTTACCATTTGCTTCGTCCATCCCGGGTTGGGCAGCCATACAGCGGTGACTTGTCATGTTGCAATCACGCAGATCTGCCCAACTCACTGCAGTTGATTCTACTGCTAAGAGCAGCCCATCCAAGCGCAGCACATGGCTTACGTCGTGCATGAAGCGCTCCGGCTCTTCTTTTCCGCGCTCCAGCTCAGAGGAACTTGCCCAGCGTCGGGTCTTCGTGGAAGACAGTAATTAACGCCGATGTTTGATCTTGCCCCCCTGTTCTACTGCGAAAGGTCGCGGCGATGGAGGTCTCGACAGAGGCCGCCCATCAGGACTCTTTGCAGGGTTCAGGGTCTTGGTTCATGGGTTCCTGCTGGAGGAGGTGTCATGTCCTTGGCATAATTACGTCATTTCTCCGGATCATCGTGGAAGACAGTGACGGGGATGTTTGATCTTGGCTCCTTGTTCAGAGGGTTTTGGGGTCTTGGTTCATGGGTTCTGGTGGAGGAGGTGTCATGTGGAGTCGGGGTTGGCTTATTGTGAAGTGAAGGTAGAAGCGTCAACATGAAACGATGACGGTCTAATCGCAGTCGAAAACACATCAGCAGCAGCGATTGTAACCTTACCACATTTACCATTTGCTTCGTCCATCTCGGGTTGGGCATTGCAATCGCGCAGACCTGCCCAACTAACTGCAGCTGATTCTACTGCTAAGAAAGGGCAGCGCATGGCCTACGTGGTGCATGAAGCGCTCTTGCTCTTCTTTTCCACGCTTCAGCTCAGAGGAACTTGCCCGGCGTCGGAGGAGGTGCTCGCCAGCTTGGGCAGCTGGTGCCAAGCACTCAAGGCTGGGTTAAGGTAACGATAATTATAATTACTTATAACCCCAATTAAGGTACTTATAACCTTATACTTTATAAGTCCCATGATCCTCCTAGGGTTCTCAGGTTGTTCAAAATTTTTTTAGAGGTCAACGGCGCCATATGGATTTCGGAACTACTTCGAGTCGACTACAGACCAACGTGTGCTTGCAAGCCGGCCAGCCTCGGTAAACGTCCCAAGTTCGGAGTATGCAGCTTCACATGAAGAATACGTTCGTTGACACAACACTTTTCGCACATGGATGCATGCACGTGGGCTCATATATATATATATATATATATATGCACGCACAAAGTCCCGCGCGAAACCCGCGCGAAGGGCGCGTGTGAAGCGCGCGAAGCGCGGGGCGTGCGAAGGGCGCGAAGCGCGCAAAAAGCCGCGTGAAGAGCCGCGCGAAGCCAACCGAAGGGCGCGAAGTGGCGCGAAGCCGCGCGGAGGCGCGCGAGAGGCGCGTGAGATGCGCGAAGCGGCGCGAAGCGCGCGAAGCAGCGCGAAGCGCGCGAAACGCGCGAAGAGCGCGAAGGTGCGCGGAGGCGCGCGAGAGGCGCGAACCGGCGCAAAGCGCGCGAAGGAGCGCGGAGGCGCGCGGAGCGGCGCGAAGCGCGCGAAGCGCGCGAAGCCCGCGAAGGTGCGCGGAGGCGCGGGGAGGCGCGCGGAGCGCACGAAGCGCGCGAAGCCGCGCGAAGCGCGCGAAGGCGCGCGGAGGGGTGCCATCAGAGGCGCGCGAGAGGCGCGAAGCGGGCGCGGAGGGGCGCCAGAGGCGCGCGAGAGGCGCGAAGCGGCGCGAAGCGCGCGAAGCGCGCGAAGCCGCGCGAAGCGCGGGAAGGCTTGCGGAGGGGTGCCATCAGAGGCGCGCGAGAGGCGCGAAGCGGGCGCGGAGGGGCGCCAGAGGCGCGCGAGAGGCGCGAAGCGGCGCGAAGCGCGCGAAGCGCGCGAAGCCGCGCGAAGCCACGCGAAGCGCGCGAAGAGGCGCCACAGAGGCGCGCGAGAGGCGCGAAGCGCGCGAAGCGCGCGAAGGCGCGCGGAGGCGCGCGGAGGCGCGCGGAGGCGCGAAGCGCGCGAGGCCGCGCGAAGCGCGCGAAGCCACGCGAAGCCACGCGAAGCGCGCGAAGAGGCGCCAGAGGCGCGCGAGAGGCGCGAAGCGCGCGAAGGCGCGCGGAGGCGCGCGGAGGCGCGCGAGGCCGGGCGAAGCGCGCGAAGCCACGCGAAGCGCGCGAAGCGCGCGAAGCGGGCGCGGAGGGGCGCCAGAGGCGCGCGAGAGGCGCGAAGCGCGCGAAGCGCGCGAAGGCGCGCGGAGGCGCGCGGAGGCGCGAAGCGCGCGAGGCCGCGCGAAGCGCGCGAAGCCACGCGAAGCGCACGAAGGCGCGCGAAACGCGCGAAGCGCGCGAAGCGCGTAGGGCGCGCCCCAGGGGGACCATACTCATCCAAAGTTGCCTTGCTGACGACAGTCCTGACTTGTTGGCTAGAGCGAGGAAGAGCGCAGTTCAGGCCGTCCTTGAAGGACGGGACAGTAGCAGCCATGAATTCGACAATTGACAGCGAAGCCACGTTCGCTGCCCGGGCCACCGAGCTCGGCATGGAGCGCGCTCTCTTGGATTTGCTTGTGAACAACAACGTGAAGACGATGGGCGCGCTAGCCTTTGTGAGCCCCTATCAAATCGGTCAAGCAGACGAGAAACCTCTTCTTGAAGCCCTCAAAGCCCTGATAGGGCGCGACTTGACCGCGAAGGAGCTGATCCCAGTCAGGCGATTGTGGTTCGAAGCCTCGACCACAGTGATGGGGGAGTTGAAGCAGAAAGTAGAAAGAAATGACTCTGCTGAACCAGTTCGTCTAGCCATAGCGGAAAGAACAACACGTCTGGATGAGCAGAAAAAGCGCCTTGTGGGCGTGTGCATCAACAGTGAGTCTGAACCTTCTCACCGCCTTGTGGATGTTGTCTTCCAGCAGGGCGCGGATCAGCAGCTGACGTGGTTGCCTTGGGAGAAGTTGACAAGTCGGGCTCATGAGTTGACGCATTCTCGCTCCGACAACGCCATCCTGTTTGATGCTCAGGGCAACATGAGGCTGACTAAGAAGATGCAGGAGAGCCAGTGTACTCTGACAGGTGAGCTCCAAGCTCGACAAGCGCTTCAGAGGCGCGCGTTGGCGTATGACCTCGCCCGCTTGTGTGACTATGCTGTCATGGAAACCTACCATGAGGAGTTGTTCCAGCTCCTCACTCGGCCTCCACCTCCCAATGCCCTCTACGTCTCAATGGGCCAAATCCGAGAAGCTGATAAGCACTTATTCATCAGGATCGCAGAGCAAACCCGGGGCTCTCTCACTGCTCGCCCGGATGGTGCTAAGCCCTTGCAACAGCAGCTCGAGCTTCTCAAGAACCATCCTCAGGTGCAGTTCTTCTTGATGCCACCGCAGAAGCCTCTCCGCTACTCTCCTTATGATGGCAAAGGGGAGGGCAAGAAGGGAGCTGGAGGCAAGGGAAAAGGGAAAGCATCGACCGGTGCTCCCGCAGGAGGGGCTGCGCAAGTGGACCTCCCATCTGGATGCAGTGCCAAACACAATGGCAAGCCAATATGCTTTGCGTACAACAGGGCGGGCTGTAAGTTTGCCAAGGATGGCAAGCGGTGCAGACGAGGTTTCCATATATGTTGGAAGTGTTTCAAGGAGCACAGCTATAGCGCTTGCCCGCTCGGCGGGGCCTGACTCGGTGGTGACACTTCTGAGGCTTCGGTGCATGACGCTGCTCCCCGTCTTCAGGCGACGGCCCTTCTCGACCTTTTCGAGTCGCTGCCTAATGAGGTTGCGCCTCGCCCTGGATCGACTTCTTCAACGAAGGTGTTTCAAGCTGGGGCCTACATTTTCGGTGTGCTGGCCGGTCTACGCCGGTCTTGCGCCTTGCATGCTGAGAGTATCAAACCCTTTTGCCGTTTTGTAGTGGAAAACACTCCTGAGGAGTTTGTTTTCAGTAACATTGCTGTCTTTGCGAACTTACGGACTGAGATGCACCTAGATCCTAATAATCTGGAGGGCACTTTGAACTTTGCCATTGCCCTGTCTTCCTTCGAAAGCGGACAGATTCGACTTGAAGGCGGGCCGCAGGGTTCTGAGGCCCTTTTGGATGTCAAGCCAGGCGTCTTCTTTGATGCCCGGACTCGACGCCACGGGACCTGTGACTGGACAGGTCAGCGGGTCGTTCTTGTGGCATTCAGCCTCAGGGGCTCCGATCGCCTTTCTGCAAAGGACGCCCAGACCCTAGCATCCCTAGGGTTTAGGCCCCCTTACCCGGGTGTAAATAATCTGCATTTGGCAAGCCAGCTTTCAACGTCAGATGCGCCGGCGCATGTCGCTGCAGCTTCGCCCGGCTTTCCTCCTGTGCCTCCGAATGCTCCTGCCTTTGTTGAGGTGTTCGCTGGCTGTGCTCGCTTGTCAGCTACGTTCGCCCGGGTTGGTTTCAAGGTCATGCCCTTTGATGGCCCTCGGAACCCGCATCAGCCTGAGCATCCTGTGTGCACGCTTGACCTGACATTGCCGATTTGCCAACAGATCTTCTTGAGCCGCCTCGAGAATTCCAGTGTCTTCTTGATTCACTTTGGGTTGCCTTGTGGCACAGGATCGCGTGCCCGCGAGGCGCCACTTCCCCAACATCTGCGAGCCCGTGGTGCTCCTCAGCCTCGCCCGCTACGAGACCATGTGCACGTCTTGGGCCTCCCTTCCTTGAGTCCTCAGGAGTCTGCTAGAGTGGAGGCCGCCAACCGACTGGCCGAGTTCGTGGTGCAAGTGCTTGTGCGAGCACATGATCAAGGCTGGCGCATTGTCATTGAGAACCCCATTCGTTCTTGGATGTGGAGTGTTCTAGCCCACTTTGTGCGCGCGCTTGACAAGCCTCGCTTTCGGTCATGGTACTCCGAGCTGTTCACTTTTGATTTTGATCAATGCTGCTGGGGCGGTCGCCGTCGCAAAACTTCCAGGTTCTTGACCAATGTGCCCGAGCTTCGCTCCTTGGTGGCTTCTTGTCAAAATGATCACCCTCACGAGCCGTACCGCATCTTCAGAGGTGCGGCCTCTTCTTGGAAATTCGACACGGCTTCCGAGGCCGAGTATCCTTTGCCTTTGTGCGAACAGTACGTTCGCCTCCTGTGCCCGCTGGTCAATGCCCAGCCGCCAAACCTGCCTAGGCCTTTGGTTCGTCAGGTTCATCGGAAGCCTCCTCTCGTGCCTGAGTACAAATCCTTCACAAATGTCCGCCCTGAAAGTGGTGAGTTTCGCGAGCTCGCGTCAGATCGGGGTGTTGGCGGGAGCGGCTCAACTCAGGGCTCCACGTTTGGAGTCTTTCACTCTAAGGGTGAGTTCCTTGAGAAGGCGCTGGAAGTTGAGCACCCCTTTGATTCCGCCTTTGCCATTGACGATCAGACCAAAAGGAACGTCTTCGAGTTGCTCACCATGGGTCTCCTGGGCCCTGCTCGCAGGCGGATGGACACTCAGAAAAAGCTTTCAGCGTTGAAGCGTGAGCTTGCCGTCGAGGAGAAGCGTTTTCACGCCTCCCTTCCGGAGCACGCCCAAAAGGTGCTCAAGGGGAAGAACATCTTGTTGTGGAAGAAGCTCCTTGAGGAGACCGGGTTCCCAGACATCACGGTCGCTGAGCTCATGGAGGGCGTCCCACTGGTCGGTAGGCCTAGTAAGTCTTCCTTGTATGGGTGGAAGGAGCAGCCGGCGACCACAACGTTGGATGATCTTCTTGTTTCCTCCGTGTGGAGGAACCCTGCGCTGGCGGCGAAGGGCAGAGTTGGGGACGACCCCGTCCTAGCCGAGAAAATCTGGCAGGCTACACTTTCGGAGGTGGAGAGGGGCTTCATCTCGGGGCCCTACGATTCGGAAGAGGACGTTAAGAAGGCCCTTGGAGTTTCTCACATCTGCTGCAGCCGGCGCTTTGGGGTGAAGCAAGGTGCAGGCGATGCTTTGAAGTATCGCCCCATCGACGACTTCAAGGAGAGTGCCATAAATTCTGCCTACCACGCGGTGGATCGCTTGCAGCTGCATGACGTCGACTACTTTGTTTCCTTGATAAGGTTTCTGGCGAACTCCGTGGACGACTCGGGTGCAGTCAATGTCGAGCTGTCCGACGGGACAGTGCTGAGTGGGGCTGTGCACAGTGACTTTCGATCGGGGCGGCGCTGGCTTGGACGGTGTCTCGATCTGGAAAAGGCGTATAAGCAGGTTCCCATATTGGCCGCTCACTTGCCCCTAGCCGTCATAATGGTATGGGACCCGAACACCAGCCGCAACAGATATTTTACCACTTGGAGCATGCCGTTCGGCGCATGCGCGGCCGTGTTTGGATTTAATCGCATATCCAGGTCGCTCTTACATCTGGCCTCGCACCTTTGCGCCGTCATAGGAGGCGTGTATTTTGATGATTATCCTATGATCGAGCCTGCTGAGTCTTCTAGGATGTGCAGCCTCTCGGTGGAAACCCTGCTTGACTCCTTGGGATGGTCTTATGCCGTCGGTGACGACAAGGGTCAGCCTTTTGAGGAAACCTTCAACCTCCTTGGCATGCGGCTGGGCGTTTCTAGAATCATGGATGACATCCTCGAGCTCGAGAACAAGCCCAGCCGGGTCCAGAAGCTCGTTGAGGCAGCCAGGAGAATGGCTGCGAGTGGGGTTGTGAGCAAGAGTGACTCTGCATCCCTTCATGGCCAACTGAACTTCATGGTGGGCTTCGCTTCCGGCCGTTCCTTGAAATTTGCTGCGCGAGCCTTGTCAAACCTTTATCACTTTCCACGGGATCAGCCTGACGAGGAGGTGAAGTCCTTGGGCCGCTACCTTGAGTCTGCGCTTTTGAGCTTGGAGCCCAAGGTCATCAGGCTGAGGTCAGGCGGGAGGCCGGTGTCAGTCTTCAGCGACGCCTCTTACGAAGATGGCGTGGCGGCATGGGGCATTGTCTTGGCAGACCCTGTCTCTGGTGAGAGGCTGGTAGCTGGCGGGATTGTAGATGATCACCTTGTGCAGTTTTGGCTTGATGAAGGAGTTGAACAAGTCATTTCACAGGCCGAGGCCTTTGCTTTGGTTCTGGCAAGGAGAGCTTTCAAGGACCACCTGCAGTGCCGCAGATGCGTGTTCTATGTCGACAATGATGCGGCGCGCTATGTATGCATTAAGGCGAGCAGTCCGAGCCGAACCCTCCTCTCCTTGGCCTGCTCCTTTTACGCCAGTGAGTCTCATGACGGAGTCATTTCATGGCTGGAGCGTGTTCCTTCTGCGAGCAATATCGCTGATCTCCCTAGCAGGGGAGAATGCGCTGAGGCGGCAAAGCTGATAGGAGGCAAGATTGTCGACTGCAGTCAGATTGCATCGGACCTGACTTCGGAAATTTTGTCCGTGGATGATCTTCCGTGGAGCCTTCTCGCTACGTCCTACAAGGACAAAGCACCTCCGATCTTCTTGTGACTGCATTCGGACGTCTGCTGGGGAATGACGGGTCCGTTGAAGGAAACAGGTTCGCCTGTGTTATCCTTGGATCGTCGGTGGTGCACATGTTTCTCCCCTTGATCTGATCGCAGTCCGAAGGTGCCAAAATAGCGAAGGTGTCCGAGTGATTGCAAGTGAAGCTTCAATATTTGAAGATTGCCTTTTTTTATAACATATTGATTGATTGGGCTATGCCCGAATATATGATTGTTTTTTAACCACGTTTCGTAAATCACTAAGACGACGTTCTCCGCGGGCGGACAGAGTTGTCTTTGATTTATAGTCGCCCATAGAGGCGACGCGAAACGTAGGAATTTCAAATTTTACAACTTATTTAAAATCCGTGCGCTCTTGATTTCATGTCACACTTTTACTTTGACGTGGAATCAGTTGTTCGAGTGCAAAAGCCTTTGGCCTAAGTTCAGTGTGTCCGTAGGTCACGTGTCAGCACATGCACATAGCTGGGAAACACACTGCAGTGACCGTTGACTGAACAATTTTTCTCCCGCCCACCCGCCCGGGAATGACGGGTCCGTTGAAGGAAACAGGTTCGCCTGTGTTATCCTTGGATCGTCGGTGGTGCACATGTTTCTCCCCTTGATCTGATCGCAGTCCGAAGGTGCCAAAATAGCGAAGGTGTCCGAGTGATTGCAAGTGAAGCTTCAATATTTGAAGATTGCTTTTTTTTTAACATATTGATTGATTGGGCTATGCCCGAATATATGATTGTTTTAACCACGTTTCGTAAATCACTAAGACAGTGACATCAATCATGCCTGGAGCATGTTGCTTAACGGCCTTGATAAGCCGATTCACCGCATAGCGGGATCCCATGGCCCTTGTACAACCTGAGTCAAGAATGACAAAGGTAGGGCTTCGATCAAGATTGATCCGCTCGGTCAGAGCAGATAGGACGGTGTGCTGCAACGGAAACACTGCTGTTGCAGTCTCCACACCTGGCCCTTGACGTTCATCATGCGCCAAAGGCAGATAACTCTCTGAGGAGTTGTACACGGTATCATGGTGCGCGCTCGGATCTGTGCCTCTACCTGATGATCCTTTGTTGTTCTTTCTCTTCTTTTTCCGTGCTTTCCGTTTTGAGGCATGTGCATAGTATGTGTAAGACGTATTTTCGTCGTAAGCGGCATAATTCCAACCGGAGTCAGTATAGTAACTGTCCTCGTACCATGAATCCCAGCTCGGTGTGGTGGAGCCTTCATAGGCATGCGGAGATGCTGTTTGATCTCCTTGTAAGGAGGCAGACTTGGCTGTATCCTTACCTTTGCCCTTTCCTTTTGTGCCTTTGAAAGAGCTTCCTTTGTCTTCCTTTCCTTTTCCTTTCCATTTGCCTTTTCCACCTTTTCCTTTATCTTTTCCTTTTCCTTTACCAAAAAATATAGCCGGAATCGGAATCGGTTGGATCATGTTCCGCCTGGTTGGCTCTCCCTTTTCCGCGGTATGACCTGAAACGGCCACGTCCTTTTCGCTTGCCACCCTTTGCTCTTCCCAGTGATCCGGGACGCATTCTTGGTCTCCTTCCTTTCTTGAATCTCCTTGCAACGAAGGCCTCATGGTCATCCACTGTCCAGAAGACAGCTTCCTCATCTTCAGCGGCAAGAAAGCCTTCCTCAAGGGTGTCTTCATCTTGGAGCCAGAATCCATCGACTCCGTCGTATTCACCCTGATCGAGGATGAGGAAGTTTCGGCCTCCGCGTTTGCGGCGTTGGTCTCTCCTTCCATGGCGGTCCTTCTTGTGAGAAGTATGCCGAATATTGGGATCCTGCAGACTAGTTCTGGTCGTCGAGAACTGATCGAACATGGTCTGCCGTACCACAGGGTACGTGTAGGTCTCAATTCGGTAACCTTGGTTGGTCAATGCTGATACCAACCTCTCACGTTGTGTTTCATTCAGATCGGACTGCACTAGGAATAGGAGAGCTAGGAGATTATCATTCAGTGGAAACGCTCTACGATGATTATCATGGCGTTCCTTGTTCCATGAGTCAAAGAATCGTGCGGCATATTGTTCCCTTTCATGTGCTTCCTGCAGGCGAGTGAAAGTTTGATCTTGCTGCACTGCCGCTACAAACTCCTGATTGGCATCTTCCAGGTTTATCTCTGGTAAGAGATCCATCCAAGAGTTTCGCAGTCTGTTAAGCACTATTTCAAACTCAGCAATCCAAGTGACAAAATCCTGGTTGCCTTTCCACGCCTTAAACAGGCCAAGGAACCGCCACAGGAAAACGTACTGTTCTCCTTTTACGAAAAATGGACGCATTTTCTTCTTGAAGTAATCTACTCCATCTGGGGCTGCAAGCCTTTCTCGATTAAGTGATTCTTTCTGTACTGCTGCCAATCCGGAGAGCCTCGTCTTGAGAGACGGACCTCTTTTGGTGTCATCCAGCGTTGTTATGTCGCACCAATCGTCAATCAACTGTTCATACTCAAACCACGAAGTGGTGCCATCATAGGCAGGCGCGATCTTGGGCGTTATGCCTAATGATGCTAGCATGCGGTCAGATGATGCATATGACTGTGCGACATAAGTGGCTGGACCTTGTGAGGTCTCTTCGTCCTCATATCCCCCGGAGGATTGGGAGCTGCCGTCGGCTTCGCTGTGCGAGCTCGACATGGTGCTGCCTCAGCCCGCTTTGCTAAGCGATCGGCTAGGCCGACCGCTGTTGCGGTGCTTTGTGAGGCGGGCGGCCCTTCCGGGCTCCGCTACCAGAAAACTGAGCCGATACACCCCTTTAGGATTACTCCTGTGGGAGTGTATGACCAGTTTGAGTCCCGTGGGATCTAAGGCAACGCCCAGCACACGGACAGCGATTGTTTTGTTCTGCTACGCAGAGAGAGCTTGTTGTCAAGTCGGTAAAACCACTTGAGCCAGCGAGCAGCGGACATGTATACATGTGAGCATGCAGCCAAGCCATTGCTGTAAGTACCACCCCTTTAGAGGTTTAGGCAAACAGGGGGGGGGGCAAAGGGTCGAAGCCTTTAAGCCCCCCTTAAGCCCCCTTTAAGCCCCCTTTAAACCCCCCTTAAGCCCCCTTTAAGCCCCCCTTTAAGCCCCCCTTAAGCCCCCCTTTAAGCCCCCTTTAAGCCCCCCTGAAGCTCCCCTTAAAGCCCCCCTGTAAGCCCCCCTTAAGCCCTCCTTTAAGCCCCCGTTTAAGCCTCCCTGAAGCCCCCCTTAAGCTCCCCTTTAAGCCCCCCACGCAATCACACACACACACACACACAAAACAAGAAGAAGAAGCCACACGAAATCGTTTTATGGTGGTTTTTGCGAAGAAAATACAATGAGAAAAGCAAATTTAATGAAACAAAACACAATCACAAGCCCCCCACGCAATCACACACACACACAAAACAAGAAGAAGAAGCCACACGAAATCGTTTTATGGGGTTTTTGCGAAGAAAATAAAATGAGAAAAGCAGACTTAATGAAACAAAACACAATCACAACCACAACAAAAGAAGAAGAAGAAGCCATACGAAACAAAACTAAAATGAAAAAAGACACAAACTCAAACCACACACAATCACGAACACAAAAGAACAAGAAGCCATGCGAAATTGGTTTATGGGGTTTTTGCGAAGAAAATAAAATGATAGAAGAAGAAAAAAATGAACAACGCACAAACACAAAAGAAGAAGAAGCCACACGAAATCGTTTTTTGTGGCGTTTTGCGAAGAAAATACAATGTAGCACGCATACTTTGAAGGCTTCGAAACCTCCCTTCATCCTCCCCCTTCAAGCCGCCTTCAAGCCCTTCAAAGCCCCCCCTTCAAGTCCCTTTAAAGCCCCCCTTTAAAGCCCCCTTCAAAGCCCCTTAAAAGCCCCCCTTTGAAGCCTCTTCAAAGTCCCTTGAAGTCCCCCCTTCAAAGCCCCCCTTAAAGCCTCTTTAAGTCCCCTCCGGTCCCCCCGGGTTGAATCCTCGGTTCACGAACTCCACATTTGGGGGCTGCGCTTCCCCCCAACCCCTCCGCTGTTTTTAGAAGCTTGCCGAAAACAAAGAAAAAGGCTGCCAATAACCAGTTCCTGCCCACAAAAGAACACACGACTTTCGGAGTTAAGCAGAACGAGAGCAAAGTTACCAGTGGTTCTGTTTCACACGGTTTGCGGTGTCCGCACCTTCTCTTCAGCAAGCTGTACAAAGAAAAAAGGTTCAAAGAACTTGAAGACGCAAAGTTTTGACGTCTGCTGAAACTTCTACCTTCCGGGCAGCAGGAATGCTGGTTTCTCGTCTGGTATGGTCTGGTTGTTGTGCGCAGCTAAACATGAGTGGAAATCCTTCAATAGCAACTCTGACAAGGGGCACCATTGCACTGATTTGTAGTTCTTCTAGCTTTGACTTGGACTCCAGGCTTCTAGTCTTTATTGCTGCTTAGATATCATCCATGTGCACAACAAGAATACCGTTTAGTATGGTTTTGAAAGATTTCTTTTTTGTCTTCGCTTTTAACACACCAAAAGCGTTTTCGTGTAGCTTTCTTCTTTTTGTCGTTTTGGTGGTATTAAATAGAAGTAAGTGTAGTCTTAGGAAGTGTAGTATTGGTAATATTAGTCGTAAGTAGTAGTAGTAGTAGTAGAAGTAGTAGTAGTAGTAGTAGTAGTAGTAGTAGTAGTAGTAGTAGTAGTAGTAGTAGTAGTGGTAGTAGTAGTAGTAGTAGTGGTAGTAGTACTAGTACTAGTGCTAGTGCAGGTGCTAGTAGTAGTACTAGTACTAGTACTAGAAAAATTATTAGTAGTATTCGCAGGATTCGAACACCGGTAACCCAGGGTTCAAACACTAGTGTTCGAACCCAGAGTTCAAACACCAGTGTTTGAACCCAATGTTCGAACTCTGAGTTCGAACACCCGGTGTTCGAACCCTGAGTTCGAACACCAGTGTTCGAACCCAGAGTTCAAATACCGGTGTTCGAATCTGAGTTCAAACACCAGTGTTCGAACCCAGGGTTCAAACACCGTGGTTTGG